CTGGCTGAGGCAAGGAGGGAAGTGCCTTGAAACTGAGGAGATACGACAAAGACGTTCTTTTTAGCGGTAAACGCGCAAACTTGTGTCTTCTGAGGATTAAACTGGACTAGATTTAGTCGCCCCCAATCCGAGACTTTGTTCAGCAAAGACTCGACTTCAGACAAAAGTTTGTTCCGGTACTCGGCGACGTTTTCCCGAGAAATATTGGCACGGCTGGTGTATAGAGCATCACCAGTGCTGTCATCCGCATAGCAATGAATGTTACCAGTTAGCAACATATCATTGATATGCAGAAGAAACAGCGTTGGTGATAGCACACAGCCTTGTGGAACACCAGCGTTAATAGGCTTGTAGTCGGAGCATGCAACGTCTACAACGACCTTGATGCTCCAATCTGCAAGGAAGCTGGTGATCCAATCGCACAATTTCTCGGGAAGCCCATAGGAAGGGAGCTTCGAAAGAAGCACTTTGTGCCAAACCCGATCGAAGGCCTTCGCAATGTCCAAACTAACGGCCAACGCCTCCCCCTTGGACTCTACTGTCGCCGCCCATCTATGGGTCAGGTAGACCAGAAGATCACCAGCTGATCGACCCCGACGAAAACCGTATTGGCGGTCACTAATCAGCTGGTGATCTTCAAGGTACCGCATGAGCTGGCAGTTAATAATGGATTCCATTATTTTGGAGAACAAGGAGGTGATCGCGATAGGCCTATAGTTGGACGGGTCTGAGCGGTCGCCTTTTTTAGGGATCGGGTGGACAAAAGCTGTCTTTCATGAATTCGGGACTATGCCTTGGGAGTAGGAGTACCGGAAAAGACGCGTTAGGACCGGTGCCAACTCGGGAGCACACGTCCTCAGCACAATTGGGGGGATTCAGTCAGGCCCACTCGACTTCTGGATGTCCAGGGAGAGGAGTGCTTTGCGAACCGAGCGCTGTGAGAACAGCACATCCGGCATGGAGCACTCACACCGCGGGATGGTCGGCGGTGTTTTCCCCCCGTCATCAAGAGTCGAGTTGGACGCAAGAAGGGAGCCTAAAAGGTCGGCTTTGTCTTTTGCGTTTTGGGCCAGTGAGTCGTCCTCCCTGTGCAGAGATGGTAGTGATGGCTTACAGAAATTCCCTTGGCAGTTTTGGCGAGAGACCAGAATGCACGGGTTCCCGAAGGAAGGCGAACTAGTTTCTCGCCAATTCTGCCTATGTGCTCTGACTTTGCCTTGGCAATAACTCTTTTGAAGAACCTGGAGGCGGAGTTATACTTCTTTTTAAGTGTGCTGGTGTTTACATCCCGAGTCGTCGAAGCCGCAGCCCAGGCATGATAACACTCCTGCTTACTGCGTAATGCAGTCTTACAGGAGTGACCGAACCAAGGCTGGGATCTGCCTCCGATAGGTACCACAGATGATGGAAAAAATCAGTGACAGAGTCAGCAACAGCACTGGGATCATCCGGCGAGAAGCAAACCCGCCCCCATGAGTAGGATGCAAAGAAAGACCGCATTCCGTCCCAATCCGCCGACCTGTAATGCCAAACACGGCGGCAACCTGCAGAACGCAACCGCGAGGGGAGCGTGATTGGCACCACACTCCGTATCAGACAATGGTCCGAAGAGCCGAGAGGGGCATCGACGGAGACCTGATCTCCGTCCGGATGAGAGGTCAGCAGAAGGTACAACTACAGAGATCGTGATCTCTGCGGATGGGACCTGTTGTGGCAAGGAATCTGTAGCCATTTGGAAGTGCTCGATGAGTCGGTCTGTTTCGGCATTACCGCTATGGGACCTATAGAGGCACCCGTAGACGCGCGGATGGTCGTCGCTGTCTACGCGTAGCCAAAGGATGGACAGGTCCGAACCTTCAAGACTGCCGAGGCGTCGAGAACAGATGTCCTCTCTGACATACACGCAAACTCCAGCCCGAGGCGCAAAGGAGTGCTCCAATTTGTACCCCGGGTAGGAGAGATACGAAATATCAGCCGGAGAGGAAACCTGCGTCTCGGTTAGAAAGAGCAAGGCCGGCTTCGCCAGAAATTCACGGATAGCGTGGCAGGGGTCGCCTTGGTATTGTTGCTCAGTTTGCCCCGAGCAGTTATGTTTTTGAGCGGAATTTTGCCCCCCCCCTCCCCAGAATACGCGGGGCAGCCTGAGCACCTACGCTCAGGAGTAGAATAACATGGTCGTGGATGCTCAACGAGGGATTCTCCAGGGGTGCTGATACCCTCCTGGGGTAGTCTAACGTATAATTCCGCTACCATGTTGATGGGAGGGGGGATTGGGCTACCGGCCACCTTCACTCACCAGACGAAACGCAGAAGCAGAGCTTCTACTTCACGCCGGTATTCTGTGAGGTCGTGGTACCAACCCGGCTCGAGCCGGCCTATACGTGCAAAAACTGCTGCGTGGCTCTACCACCGTTAAAACCACCAATTTGTTACGGCTCTCAGTTGCCCAGACAGAAGTCGACTGTATGGCCCATCAGTGATGCACTCGACCTGCAACCAGAGAGTTCGGCCCAAATGGCCTATGGATATGTAGTATATAAGGCTAGGTAATTAATACGAACTTACCGGGTTCCGAATCGAGGACCGAGCCCAAGGCGCTGTCAGGCGTTAATTATGTGCTTGTAAGTTTGTGTTAGAAAGTGTATATACATGTAACCTGACGGCCCATTTAATCGGCAGCAACCCCGACACCCGGTACCGCCCCACGATGTGGTATCACTCCAGTGGCGTCACCTCGATGTCACTCAAGTCTAGAGTCACTTAGCACAAATCTATAATCTAATACGAACCCTGTTTCTCGCGGGTCACAAGGTTTTAGCGTTTTAATCGACAAAGAAAAATGTCTCCGAACTATATCTAATGCCACACGAGCAAAATTATTATTGTCAAATACACTTCAACAGGCAATCACTATACAAATTGACGTAAGGTACTTGCAAACAAAGTTAAGTTAATCATTCAACTCAACAAAACCCTCGTCGTTACGTAAAACGTACTAACAAAAAAAAAACGACACAATTAGAGGTTATTCGGTACGCGACCACGCGGTTCTAATAGCTTCCCTTTTACACGAGACCTCGCAGTTCAACGGAGCAAAACAACGAATGTGTTGCTAAGCGCAAATCTCGAGAGTAGCTGAACCGATTTCGTTAATTCTTTGTTTATAATATTCCTTGAAGTACGAAGATGGTTCTTACGGAAAGAAATTTAAAAAAATTCTGAAAATGTCTAAAAAAACACTTTCTATGTTCCCATACAAAAGATTCGTAATAATACTTAAAAGTCCATTTGAACTTTAATACCATACCATAAAGTTTAAGTTTTAGTGGAGGGGTTCCGGGAAGGCAAAACAATTGAGTGACGTTAGTATCGTATAAATATTAATGTCAATATTTGTCACTATTTATACACACTGGCAGATAGCTGATGTTATAAGGAGTAAGTTGGGCTGCCTTTATTTTAAGGTTCCGCGAAAAATAACTCTACGCGGGTGAAGTCGCGGGAAACAGCTAGTACATTATACATATATACAAAATGTAACAAGTACCTAACATTTAAAAACATTTAAAAAAATTATTTAATAAAGAATTAATATACCACTTTTTTATACTCTTACATTGTCATCCGAGTCTGAGCTATGTTCTTCAAGTTTCCAGCTCATCGGGAAGATAATTTAAAATCAATTACTAAATTAGACCCAAACAGACATACACAAAAGCAAGTTAATTAAAATATGGTAAATAATACCCTTACTGATCTGCAAAAGACACATATAGGTTACACAATGATATTACCAAAACAAAAATTAAATATATTATTAAAGAAAATAAAAATGTGATTGTTATTTAAAAACATGGTTCTTAGTTCACTTTCACATATTATCTATCAAATAATATGCTCTTCTAGTTTGTAGTATTGTAGAATTGTGTTGAAGCCTAGGCGACTGACAATGTTTATAATGTGATTATATTTCATCTCAAAATATGGTTAATTTTTATTTTCTATTACATTGAAACCTCATTGTGTACATACACTTACTAATAACAACTAGCAGCCTGTCCCAGCTTGTATTAAAGTATAATATGTATTATAATTTTATTAATTTTGATTAAATAAATATCACAATATCACTATCTCACTGACAAAATGGTAGGAATCCTTTGTGTGTGCTCTTGTATGTCCTCTGAGTGATAATAGTATTTTACTAAGTGTTGAGCCAATCTGTAAGTTGGCGAATTGATCTGACTTACTATTGGATGTAATGGAGCGTTCGGTTTGTTTATTTATGGTAACCCATACAACTTCAGAGGTAGATCGCTAGTTGTTTTAAGCGTATTAGTTGTAGGGTCTGTTTTGACCTTTATGTACATACTTTTATCAGATAAAAGATGTTGTAATTTAAAATTGTAATCCGACGTATCCCTTATAAAATCTGGCCTCACGCTCTCTCTCTCTCTCTCTCTCTCTCTCTGCACGCAAAAATTAAAAAAAAATCATTCTAATTTCAATAGAGAGGGAGGCTGGGTAGTAACCACCTGCTTGGGATCCTGTAATAAAAAAAATTAAAACTAAACCCGAGCATACGACTGCAAGACTTCAAGACACAGTAACTTCATTCTGTGTAGATCAGACCAAAATTAATAATCAAAAAAGCTGAAGGTACTCCGGGTTAACTCTGACATTGGGACGTCAATCACTTCAGTCCCCCATGACCATGAGTGCTGTAAAGCATCCGAAACGTCGGGAATTTAATAAGAATAAGTTAATTAAAGAATTCGTAAAAGTAGTTTTATTCAATGTGTAGTATGTATTCTCGTATATATAAGAAATCATAATTTCGATTAAATTAAATTGACAACCCTAGACATATTGGATAAACATATAATTTGTTATCAGGACCCCTGTCGAAGAGGTCAAGTGACGTCCAGAGCCATCAGCACAATTTGAAGTTACGGAATCTTTATCGTACAGTACATTATTATAGATTGAAACAAAAGGACATGGCGACTAATGGAAAATTGGGTAAAGTTGTTTTACTTATTTTAAAAATATTTTATTTACAGGAGAAATTCAAGTTCCTATTTTAAAGTAAATTAGGTGCTAATTAATGGATTTAAAAAAGAGCCCTGCTAGGTTTCCTTATATAACAACTGAGAGGTACACAAAATTAATAAAATGTATTATTCTAATATAATTTAAATACATAAGTTTCATCTTCAAATGTCTCAAAACTTAGTCGCCTTTAACTTAACATTAATTTTATTCTTAAACATTATAAAATTGTTAAGTCTTTATTTAACTGCAAGAAACTATGACGTTATTTGATTTTTTTTTTTATAGGATAAGGGTGACAAACGAGCACACAGTCCACCTGATGGTAAGTGGTTACTGCGGCCCATAGACATCTACATCTATCCTCTATTACAACTCAAAATGTAGATGCGTTGTCACCCGTGAGGACTAAGATGGAATGCCTCATTTCCAGTAAAAAGGGCCTCCGGCCACCTGCACTCACCAAGCGAAACGCAAAGGTAAACCTCTACTTCACGCTGGTTTTCTGTGAGGTCGTGGTACCACCCCGGTTCGAGCCGGCCCATCCGTGCGGCAGCAAAAGCTGCCGCGTGGCTCTACCACTATTATTTCTATAAGGTTAATTCGAATTTGATTTCTCTTTAACACACCTGTCATTCTCGCATGCAAGTAATGTTAATAAACGCATTTAATTTGTTATAGCACTTCTCAGCGTATCCGATAAAACCGGCCTTTTGCCACTGGCAAAGTGTTTATCGGACATCGGCCTCGGGTTAGTGGGCAGCGGTGGGACAGCGGCCGCCTTACGCAATGCCGGCCTTAAAGTATTGGACGTGTCGGACATCACCGGTGCCCCGGAGATGCTCGGGGGAAGGGTCAAGTCTTTACACCCCGCTGTTCATGCCGGCATTTTATCTAGGCATGTACAGTATTACATATTACTATTTTCTGGTTAATAATTAGGGATGTTGAGGATATTTTTCATCCGCGGATGTGAGTGCGTATTCGAAATTTCGAGGCTCACATCCGCAGATGTGGATACGGATCTCGGGTTTTTATAAAATTTGGTTAGTATAATTAAAGGAAAGCGATGGCATTTTTATATTATTTTTTTATCTAAGAATTAAAATGTCTGTATGAAAATTTAATAAATTAGTGCATTGTAGCGAAAGTACGATATATTCGCACGAAACCTACATCTCGCTGGCCTCGACAAAACAGCTGTACCACATCTGCATCTGCAAAAGCTTTGCATTTATTATTGCTGGTGCGGCAGGGTAGGAGTAGAGGGGTGTGGGAGGCAGCGCTTACTCATTTGAACTTGACCTAATTACCTGTGTAGTCGCCTTTGATGCGACCGGTTGTCCGTGTGAGTGAGATTAATATTGCGAACATTGAAAATTAGCGACGCAGAGATAAATTACCTATTATACATTTTAATATTTGTAATTTTTCTTTGGAATTTTATTTGCTTATTTAATTATGTATAATGATTTCAACACGATGTGTGATACTGATATTAGTGTAAAATAAAAAATGCATTTTCTTTGATGATTTATTTTAAAATTTTTAGGTACTACAAAATACAGACTTAAAAGGTGTCAGACATGACAACAAAAACTTAAAAGTAGTTTTTTTGTAAATGTATTATATTCTGTAAAGAGATATAACCAATATATATATATATATATATATATATATAAAACTTAACATATTGGATAAAACACTAAAGTTTTATCCAATATGCTGTAACAGGCGACAGATGTAAATGAAACAGCAGATGAGCTGCAGCATCTTCCTGATACGAACTCAAAATATTAAATGAAACTGCGGTTGTCAAGTCAATTTGCGGGGCATAAGGCAATCTGTGGGGGAGGCCTATGTTCAGCAGTGGGCTTTTGATAGGCTTGATGATGACGAGGATAATGGGTTAAGGCTCTATGAATTTTAGGTGTACTACCAAGCGCGTTGATCAATTGTAACGTATTTCTAACAGGCTTACAGAATCCGATCAGGCGGACATGAAGCGGCAGAAGTTCGACATGATCAGCGTTGTCGTGTGCAACCTCTATCCGTTCGTTCAAACGGTGTCCAAACCTGATGTGACAGTAGCCGATGCGGTTGAGAACATTGATATCGGAGGAGTAACATTACTAAGGGCAGCAGCTAAAAACCATGACAGAGTTACTGTCATATGCGACCCTGCTGATTATGACAAGATCATAGAAGAGCTTCAAAAAAACAAGGATCACCAGACTTCATTAGAAACGAGGTGTGCATGTTATAATATGATGTTCAAATTTCAACCTTATATATTTTATTTTAATCTTAAAATTTTCATTGATTATTATTATAAGATAACAATTTCTTTCAGACAAAAACTGGCTCTGAAAGCTTTTACTCACACATCAGAGTACGATCTTGCCATCTCAGACTACTTCCGTAAACAATATTCGGCTGGACAGTCACAGCTGACGCTGCGATATGGTAAGTTATGGCTTTTATGGAATTCCTTTAATACAAATATAATTTGGCACGTTTATTTTATTTACTCGTGTTATATTATTATTATTATTAGTCAGTATTATTTTATTTTTATTTATACTATCATTTATTATAATTTACGTAACATTTTGTATATTATTTACAGTAGTATTAGTATTGTACGCACTAAATTTGCCTTTTTAATATATTTTTCTTTGTGGGTTTACTGGAAGATATTTCAGCAAATTATGGAATAAGTAGAACCTTTGTACAAACTCACTATAAGACTGTTTCTGTATCTTGTTTTGTGTACATAAATAAATTAAAATAAAAAATATTCTCTCCTTTTAGGAATGAACCCACATCAGAAGCCAGCACAAGTATTCACAACTAGAGATTGCTTACCTCTTACTACATTGAACGGTTCCCCCGGTTTCATCAATCTATGCGACGCTCTCAATGCCTGGCAACTCGTCATAGAATTAAAACAGGCCTTAGGCCTACCCGCAGCAGCCAGTTTCAAGCACGTATCGCCAGCTGGCGCTGCTGTAGGCTTACCCTTGACTGAGGAAGAAGTAAGTAAACATATTTTTACAGTTTATTTTCCTTTATGTACTCCTCGGAGTTTGAAAGTGTTCCGACTTCAAATTCCATGTGAAACCATGTCTGCATTTTCACTGAATAAATAACTTTGCAAGACTTCAAATGATTCTGCAGTGCTCTGTAATAAAAAAATGAAAAAGAGGTGACAACGCACCTGCAGCCCTCTTTATTTAAAGTTGGCTGCAAGTGTTCATTGGCTGTTATAGCCATTTATCATCAGGTGGACTGTGTGTTTGTTATTCCAAGGTTATAAAAAATCAGGTTATTCAGACGCTTGGAGGTGGATTAAAATTAAATTACAAAATTCCATTACATTAATGTATATACGTAACAAAAGCGTGTGAAGAAATATTTATTTAAAGAATGCGTCAGTGTGCATATAGTGAAACGAATTATTCGATTAATGACAAAAATTGAGTTATAAAATGTTTTTAAGATCATCAAATGAATCAGGCGTTATTATGCGGAAATTCATTATGTTAAAGATGTGAAAATTAACTAACATCGCGTGAAAAGTAAAATTGTGTGTCTTGCCTAGTTTTCCACCACAAAACCAAAACCTGTCCAAAACTGTACTTGTTTCGCTACTAAAGAAGGTTATCAGGACAAATAGAGTGCGATGACTGAGCCATAGCGGTGGTTACCGGTAAATTCTTTATTAATTTTCAAATCTACAAAAATATTAACGCACACCCGCACGCACGCACACACAAACACACTCGCCCACTCGCGCGCTCGCGCGCTCGCGCACGCGCACACACACACACACACACACACACACACACACACACACACACACACACACACACACACACACACACACACACACACACACACACACACACACACACATACATACTGCATACTTTTAAAGATGCATGATGAGTACTAGTAAAAAACTGATTTGTGTGAAATTGATTGGTAATACTAACAGCCGTGTTTGCTGTCAGGCGTCGGTGTGCATGGTGAGCGACATGGGCGCGCGGCTGAGCCCGCTGGCGTGCGCGTACGCGCGCGCGCGCGGCGCCGACAGGATGAGTTCGTTCGGCGACTTCGTGGCGCTGTCCGACAGATGCGACGAGTCCACCGCTAGGTAAGGGTGCCTCTACGTTTTGTTTACGGTACAAGTTACTTTTTTAAATTTCTTTTGTAATGTATCACGACAGAATTTTTTTTTATAGGATAAGGGTGACAAACGAGCACACAGACCACCTGATGGTAAGTGGCTGCTGTGGCCCATAGACATCTACATCTATCTTCGATTAAGAATCAAAATGCAGATGCGTTGTCACCCGTGAGGACTAAGATGGAATGCCTCGTTTCCAGTAAAAAGGGTCTTCGGTTCTCTACACTCACCATACGAAACACAGCAGCGTTAAACTGCTATTTTACGCTGGTATTCTGGGAGAGCGTAGTCCTTCCCCGGTCGAGCCGACCCATTCGTGCTACAACTATAATATAGCTGCAGCATGGCTCTAACACGTATAAAAATTAGACAAAAATAATTTAGGTGTTATAAATACGGTGGAATCTCGATAACTCGATCCTTGTTAAGTCGTAATCCTCAGTAAAACGGAATAAATTGCCATTCCCTTTCATTTTCCAAGCCCTATATACCCCTATATGTTATTTCCCAGCGAGGTATTGGTAATATATATTTATACTCTGCAACTCAAGTTGAAAAAATTAGATTCCGTAAGTCGAATATAATGACGTTTTACTCGAAATTTCCCGAACTAATAGCAATACTTGGTAAAATTAAAAATTTTGTACAAACCACTTCAATACAAATTGTTAAGTAGAACCCTAAAGAAAACTACTGACCTTGATCAGATTTATACGGGACCACATGACAAGCACCAGCTTGTTCGAAATTGGTTCACCCAGAAATAAGTTATGAGATAACATACAAAAAAACATACATTTGAATTGAATTTTCCACCTTTTAGAAGTCGGTAGAAAATTCAAAAGGAATGTTTGTTGCTTCTGTTATCTATTGTGTGGTATTTTATACCGTTACCGTTACTGTCTACCAAAGTCCACAGCTGAACTTGCCGTAGTTGCCACACTTGGCAAGCGGATCGGCAACCGCAGCTTTTTTTATTTTCATTCGTTATTAGAAAGATGCTGCTGTCATCTCCTGATTGGTTTCCCTCTGTCGCCTCTTACGACACCCCCGGGATGATATGGGGTAGTAGATATTCTTACAACACAATTACATGGCACAATGCACTGTACAAAAACGGGTGTGTATAAAAACACGTCGTTATACATGTGTAATGGATAAATGCGTTCCGTAAACTTTCTAAGTAACACATCTGTGTACATTGTAACTATTTTTACGGATTTTATCGCGTTTAATTAACTTATTTTATATTCCCGACGTTTCGGTTGCTTTCCAGCAACCGTGGTCACGGGGGACTGAGGTGATTGACGTCCCGATGTCAAAGTTAACCCGGAGTACCTTCAGCTTTTTAATTATTAATTTTGGTCCGATCTACGCAGAATGAACTAACTGTGTCTTGAAGTCTTACAGTGGTATGCTTGGGTTTAGTTTTAATTTTATGAATTACAGGATCCCAAGCAGGTGGTAATACCCAGCCTCCCTCTCTATTGAAATTAGGATGTTTTTTAATTTCAATAGCCTCACGTATCATCCTTGGCAGGAATCGATGTTCTTTCGCGAGGACTTGTGGTTTATCAAATCTAATGTAATGACGGGGGCCGTCTAGGATATGATCACAAACTGCAGACTTCCCGGAACGTTGGTGCTTCACGTCAGCTATGTGTTCTTTTACGCGGGTTTTTATTGATCGTTTTGTTTGCCCTATATATGAGAGACCACACTCACAATCAAGCTTGTATACTCCTGCATCTTGTAGAGGAATATTGCACTTGACGGATGGTAAGAACTGACTAATCTTCTTCGGCGGCTTGAAGAATGTTCTAATAGAAGCTCGCTTCAAGATGTAGCCAATCTTGTCTGTGACACCTCTGACATATGGTAGTACAGCAGGCACACGCTCGACTGTGGCCGGCTTCACTCGGTCACTGTGACGTAGGCGCGGAACCCGAAGCTTGTTGTCGTGCAGAACCTGCTTGACGTGCTGAAGCTCGGCGGCCAGGTGTTTGCTGTCACAGATCCCTCGTGCTCTCTGCAACAAAGATTTGCCCACGGTAGCTAACTGTGAAGGGTGATGGTGGGATTCACCGTTTAAGTATCGGTTTGTATGGGTCTTTTTTCTATACACAGTGTGACCTACGGTGTTATTAGGATTTCGAATGACTAACACATCTAGGAAAGCTAAAGAATTATTTGCCTCTAACTCCATAGTAAATTGAATTTTAGAGTTTATGGAATTAAGATGTTCTAAAAATGCAGTTACTTTGTCTGATGGTAAAATTGTGAAAGTATCGTCTACGTACCGCTTGTAGAAACTTGGAGTTACTGGTGCAGTAAGCAGGGCTTTCTCCTCAAAGTCCTCCATGAAAATATCGGCGACAATGGGAGATACCGGTGAGCCCATCGCAACACCATCTACTTGCTTGTAAAACTGTTCCTTCCACAATAGGTAGCCAGATGTAAGGCAATGTCTGAGTAATACTGCATATTCTGCTGGCATGTTGTTTTCCTCTAGTTTCCTAGTTATAATTGAGATGCAGTCTTCAACAGGTAGGCATGTAAATAGAGACTGAACATCAAAACTGACCATAGTTTCATTGTCAGTAAGACATAGGTCTTTTATCTCACTGACAAAATGGTATGAATCCTTAGTGTGTGCTCTTGTATGTCCTCTGAGTGGTGATAGTACTTTTGCTAAGTGTTGAGCCAATCTGTAAGTTGGCGAATCGATCTGACTTACTATTGGACGTAATGGAGCGTTCGGTTTGTGTATTTTTGGTAACCCATAACATACATACATAACCGCCGAAGCTTCGGCAACTTACAGATTGGCTCAACACTTAGCAAAAGTACTATCACCACTCAGAGGACATACAAGAGCACACACTAAGGATTCATACCATTTTGTCAGTGAGATAAAAGACCTATGTCTTACTGACAATGAAACTATGGTCAGTTTTGATGTTCAGTCTCTATTTACATGCCTACCTGTTGAAGACTGCATCTCAATTATAACTAGGAAACTAGAGGAAAACAACATGCCAGCAGAATATGCAGTATTACTCAGACATTGCCTTACATCTGGCTACCTATTGTGGAAGGAACAGTTTTACAAGCAAGTAGATGGTGTTGCGATGGGCTCACCGGTATCTCCCATTGTCGCCGATATTTTCATGGAGGACTTTGAGGAGAAAGCCCTGCTTACTGCACCAGTAACTCCAAGTTTCTACAAGCGGTACGTAGACGATACTTTCACAATTTTACCATCAGACAAAGTAACTGCATTTTTAGAACATCTTAATTCCATAAACTCTAAAATTCAATTTACTATGGAGTTAGAGGCAAATAATTCTTTAGCTTTCCTAGATGTGTTAGTCATTCGAAATCCTAATAACACCGTAGGTCACACTGTGTATAGAAAAAAGACCCATACAAACCGATACTTAAACGGTGAATCCCACCATCACCCTTCACAGTTAGCTACCGTGGGCAAATCTTTGTTGCAGAGAGCACGAGGGATCTGTGACAGCAAACACCTGGCCGCCGAGCTTCAGCACGTCAAGCAGGTTCTGCACGACAACAAGCTTCGGGTTCCGCGCCTACGTCACAGTGACCGAGTGAAGCCGGCCACAGTCGAGCGTGTGCCTGCTGTACTACCATATGTCAGAGGTGTCACAGACAAGATTGGCTACATCTTGAAGCGAGCTTCTATTAGAACATTCTTCAAGCCGCCGAAGAAGATTAGTCAGTTCTTACCATCCGTCAAGTGCAATATTCCTCTACAAGATGCAGGAGTATACAAGCTTGATTGTGAGTGTGGTCTCTCATATATAGGGCAAACAAAACGATCAATAAAAACCCGCGTAAAAGAACACATAGCTGACGTGAAGCACCAACGTTCCGGGAAGTCTGCAGTTTGTGATCATATCCTAGACGGCCCCCGTCATTACATTAGATTTGATAAACCACAAGTCCTCGCGAAAGAACATCGATTCCTGCCAAGGATGATACGTGAGGCTATTGAAATTAAAAAACATCCTAATTTCAATAGAGAGGGAGGCTGGGTATTACCACCTGCTTGGGATCCTGTAATTCATAAAATTAAAACTAAACCCAAGCATACCACTGTAAGACTTCAAGACACAGTTAGTTCATTCTGCGTAGATCGGACCAAAATTAATAATTAAAAAGCTGAAGGTACTCCGGGTTAACTTTGACATCGGGACGTCAATCACCTCAGTCCCCCGTGACCACGGTTGCTGGAAAGCAACCGAAACGTCGGGAATATAAAATAAGTTAATTAAACGCGATAAAATCCGTAAAAATAGTTACAATGTGTAGTGTTCGCGTAAATATAAGAAATCATTACATCTGTGTACATTATGTGTGGGTAAAAAAAAAATGATCGCTCGAAATTTTTAGAATTTTCCTTAAAATTCGACGTATCGAGATTCCACTGTATATCAAGTCGTGGGGAGAGTTTTCTACAATGGTCATGCTTTACAGGCGGATTAGCAATAACTGTACCAAACATCTCACAACTTGGATGCTACTCCCCGACAATGGTCTGGATATATCATCATGTGCTATTTATCGGAAATCGCCTTACCACTTACGACATATACGTAATCATCATCATCATTACAGCCCTTCACAAGTCCACTGCTGAACATAGGCCTCCCCCAAGGAATGCCACAAAGTACAGTCCTGAGCCATATGCATCCATCGACTTCCTGCATATCTTACCAGATCGTTACTCCATCTAGTGGGCGGACGCCCTACACTTCGTCCACCGGTATGAGGCCGCCACTCGAGAACCTTTTTTCCCCACCGATTGTCGGTTCTTCGAGCTATATTACTAATGCGTTGGGATATCTCGGTCACTCTGGTTCTACTGCGGATATCCTCATTTCTAAGTTTATCATACAGAGAAACTCCGAGCATAGCCCTCTCGATAGCTCGCTGAGCGACCTTGAGTTTCCTCATCCGACCAGCAGTGAAGGACCACGTCTCAGTTCCATAGGTCATCACTGGCAACACGCACTGGTTGTACAGTCTCGTTTTCAAGTTTTGAGGTATACCTGACGAGAAGATGTGCCGTAATTTCCCGAACTCTGCCCAACCGAGTTGAATCCGTCGATTGACGGATATACGGAATGAAATAGAGTAATGGATTCGTTCACTACCACAACAAGATCACTGCTGGCGATAACACCATACAATCCCAAACGGCAAACTCACCAACTTAAAAATATAGAAAAGAAAACATTTATTAATATACGCGCGCTAGTCTAAAGTTGCATATATTAAAATACATATCAGTTGCCATATTTTGAACATTCGAAGCGAAGAACTAAGTAACCTTTTCGGTTAAATTATGATACACTATCGTACTTATGTCCATTGTTATATAATAAATAGCACTACTATTGGCCGTGACACTGGAGCGGCTTACGATTATGTTGTTTTTACGAATGTTAAAACAATTATATTCCTACCACCAGAATCATATCTCGGGAAGTGTCTGACGGCATCGTCGCTCCCGGATACACGCCCGAAGCACTCGAAATACTCAAGAAGAAAAAGGGCGGCAATTATTGCGTTTTACAGGTATGTACGATATATAAAATGTTAGAACTAGCTCCCTCTAATAGATATGCCAGAAATTAATATTTTGTCCTTAGTATCGTATTAAACATCAGGTTATGCTTACTACGAGGGTGGATTGAAAAGTACTCGGCCTAACCAAGAAAATAAACAAATACTAAATCAGTTATATTTTTATTTTTCTACATAATCACCATCAAGTTCAATACACTTTTGCCACCTCCCCTTCCAAGCATTTAGACCGTTGAAAAAAAATGATTCTTCCTTAGAGTCAAAATATGCGTCTACAGCTGCTTTGATCTCGTCGTTTGTCGAAAATCTTTGACCTCCCAAGTGCTTTTTTAGGTTAGGGAACAGAAAGAAGTCTGATGGTGCCAGATCAGGTGAATACGGCGGATGCGGTAACAGTTCAAAGCCACAGTTGTGAATTTCAGCCATTGACTGTACTGACGTGTGAACACGGGCGTTATCTTGATGAAACAGGACTTTTCTTCTGAGCATTCCTCGACGTTTTTCTTTTATTTCCTCTCGTAAACGACGTAGTAAGGTGCAGTAGTAATCAGAGTTTATATTCTGATCCCTTTCAAGATAATCAATCATAATCACACCTTTCGAGTCCCAGAATACTGAAGCCATCACCCTATTTGCCGACAAAATCGACTTAGCCTTTTTAGGGGGTGGTGAACCAGGTCTTCTCCACTGTTTTGATTGTTGTTTTGTTTCCGGTGTACAGTAATGAACCCATGTTTCGTCCATAGTAACAAAACGATTCAAAAAATCATCTGCATCGGCTTCAAATAACTCCAAACAGTCGCGTGAAATAGTCAATCGCGTCCTTTTTTGTTCAACTGAAAGCAGTCGCGGAACCCACCTCGCAGACACCTTGTGGAAACCCAACTCGTTGACAATGATGTTTTGAGTTCGTTCATAAGAGATGCCTATAATCTCGGCTATCTCTCTAATTTTTAATCTGCGATCTCCCATTATTAAATCAAGTACTTTTTTAATATTTTCGTCAGTAGTTGACGTCGAAGGCCTTCCAGAGCGGGGTTCATCTTTCACACTCTCTCTACCACGCTTAAATTCTGCTATCCATTTTTTGACGGATGAATATGACAGAGCACAATCGCCTAATGTACTGACCATGTCATCATGGATGGCTTTTGATGATAGCCCCTTCTTATGGAGGTACTTAATGACGGCACGCTGCTCGATTTGCTCCATTCGCGGAAATTATGTCCGATTACTTTGTTAATAAATTTATAAAATCACAACTAATTATCGCACACGTTTCGAACTTCACACAATGAACTAGTCTGAACTGAACTAAATAATGTGGGTAGATTTGATTTTTAGAATTGAATGGATCTGTGTTAGGCCGAGTACTTTTCAATCCACCCTCGTATGTGCCGCTTAGAGATAGCAATCCGACGGTCTCTTTCTTATAGAAGAGGGGGCATACGAGCAGGCAGCTCACTTGATGGTAAGTGACGACCCGCCTATGAACAACTGCTACACCAGGGAAATTCAAGGTGCGTTACCGGCATTTTAAAAACATCCATCCAACGATCCATAAACATGCTAATGGTAGCCGATTGTATGTTGTTTTATACCTCGTATGTTTCTTACAGAGCAACTTTGAATATTCCCAAGTAGGTACTTAGATTTAGACAATTCAAAGACATTTAGACAATTATTCATTTGAAACGTCTACCCATATCAAAACTGCATTTAGCACGCACGCATTAACGCAGGATTCTAAAAAAACTTTTAGTTTTTGAAAAAAAAAATACTTTAAGTTATTCCTAAGACATATAATTAAAAACGTTTTTATTATTACTCGTGTATTCCTACTCTACAAAGAATTCGTGCGAGGAAGAAAACTGGATGGTGTGGAGCTGAATTTAGTCGCGATTGGCGATAGTATAATTTGGCATCTGTCATTAATCCGAACAGCCGCCAGTCTGAGCCAAGACATAGTTCTGACTTTTACCATTATAGATATGGATTATTTTACGTTATCTTACGTAAATGTTTTTCGATGCTGCAAATTTTGCTGCTCTCATTTACTGATCTGAGTGGCATTAGTAAGATCATGATTGAACAGTTAATAATTTTATGTTTCTTGGTTGGTTCTAGTTTAATTCATATTATTCTTACCTCCACTCACTGTCCTGTCCTATTATTTCCACGTATAATAATTCAGAAGTTGTGGTGCACAAAATTCAATTGTTATATATAAGAATGTATTGTCTTTTCTACAATAATTTCCTTAGCTAAACAAAATTACTACAGTTACGTAAAGTCTAAACTACTGACCTAATTTCTGAACTACTAGGTACCTAACTAACTAGGTACCGGACTAACTACCGAGGAGGGCGCGTGACGGGGGGCGACTGTGACTCGCCTAAAAATACTGATTCCCAACTGTAAACATGACGTACAGTCGCCACCACAATAATATTATCAAATGGCAAAATCATGTTGCAGATGGATCCAGCCTACACGCCAGCATTAATGGAACAGAAAACAATTTTCGGACTCACGTTGGAACAGAGGCGAAATGACGCCAAGATAACTGCAGATTTGTTCAAAAATGTTGTCACGAACAACAAGGAATTGCCGGAGAGTGCTGTGAGAGATTTAATCGTAGCTACCATCGCCTTGAAGTACACTCAAAGCAACTCTGTGTGTTACGCTAGGGATGGCCAGGTAATATTCATTATAACTTCTTGATCAGTACAGTAGCATTTGACCATTAAATTCATGAAAAGTAATTAAGATTTACCAAAATAACTAGGTTTAACAAACAAATTGGCGGTCTTAGTACCAGAAAAAAATTCTCATTCCCGCATTAAGCAGCGCCTCTTTTTACTGATTTTCAAGCATTGTAATTTTTGGGCTCTTAATTGGTTTTACTACTTCACGGGTCAAAAGGAGATATTTTTAAATATAACCAACACACGCCAAAAGTAATATTTAAATCTAACAACGAACTCTAAACACTATAGAATTCATGTCTATTAGTGCACATATGCACTATGCGGTTGCGATCACAAGAAGATTAAGTATTATATGTAGCACTCATTTCTATTCTCACTTGCTGCTGCTGGGGTCGCGAAGTTGCTATTCGCACTGTGTATTTTGCCTCCCAAAAGTGGCAAGTATGGCAAATGTAACCCCTTTCAGGATATCTTTGGGGAAAACCTATTTTCAGCAGTGGACTCTTAATAGGCTGTAATAGTAGTAATATATCATGTTGGTACGTCATTATAAATAAATAAATGAATTAGTTTGTGATGGAGCCATATTGCATCTATATTATGGTTGTAGCACAAATAAGTCGGTTTGACCGGGGAAGGACCACGCTCTCGCAGAATACTAGCTTAATGCTGTTGTGTTTTGTATTGTGACTGTAGAGATCCAGAGACACTTTACTGGAAACGAGACAAGTTCCCTCTAAGTCTTTAACGGTGGCAACGCAACTGCATTTTGATATTCCATCGAGGATAGATGTAGATTTAAATGTGCCACAGCATCCACATTCCCATCATGTGGACTCGCTTGCCACCAATATTTAGAAAAAAAATGGCAAGCGGCAAGGCGGCGCTGTGGTGGGCGCGCTGTGGTTGTGTCATTGTGTTGCAACTTGTCAGGTGGTAGGCATCGGTGCGGGCCAGCAGTCGCGCATCCACTGCACGCGGCTGGCGGGCGGCAAGGCGGCGCTGTGGTGGGCGCGCTGTGGTTGTGTCATTGTGTTGCAACTTGTCAGGTGGTAGGCATCGGTGCGGGCCAGCAGTCGCGCATCCACTGCACGCGGCTGGCGGGCGGCAAGGCGGCGCTGTGGTGGGCGCGCTGTGGTTGTGTCATTGTGTTGCAACTTGTCAGGTGGTAGGCATCGGTGCGGGCCAGCAGTCGCGCATCCACTGCACGCGGCTGGCGGGCGGCAAGGCGGCGCTGTGGTGGGCGCGCTGTGGTTGTGTCATTGTGTTGCAACTTGTCAGGTGGTAGGCATCGGTGCGGGCCAGCAGTCGCGCATCCACTGCACGCGGCTGGCGGGCGGCAAGGCGGCGCTGTGGTGGGCGCGCTGTGGTTGTGTCATTGTGTTGCAACTTGTCAGGTGGTAGGCATCGGTGCGGGCCAGCAGTCGCGCATCCACTGCACGCGGCTGGCGGGCGGCAAGGCGGCGCTGTGGTGGGCGCGCTGTGGTTGTGTCATTGTGTTGCAACTTGTCAGGTGGTAGGCATCGGTGCGGGCCAGCAGTCGCGCATCCACTGCACGCGGCTGGCGGGCGGCAAGGCGGCGCTGTGGTGGGCGCGCTGTGGTTGTGTCATTGTGTTGCAACTTGTCAGGTGGTAGGCATCGGTGCGGGCCAGCAGTCGCGCATCCACTGCACGCGGCTGGCGGGCGGCAAGGCGGCGCTGTGGTGGGCGCGCTGTGGTTGTGTCATTGTGTTGCAACTTGTCAGGTGGTAGGCATCGGTGCGGGCCAGCAGTCGCGCATCCACTGCACGCGGCTGGCGGGCGGCAAGGCGGCGCTGTGGTGGGCGCGCTGTGGTTGTGTCATTGTGTTGCAACTTGTCAGGTGGTAGGCATCGGTGCGGGCCAGCAGTCGCGCATCCACTGCACGCGGCTGGCGGGCGGCAAGGCGGCGCTGTGGTGGGCGCGCTGTGGTTGTGTCATTGTGTTGCAACTTGTCAGGTGGTAGGCATCGGTGCGGGCCAGCAGTCGCGCATCCACTGCACGCGGCTGGCGGGCGGCAAGGCGGCGCTGTGGTGGGCGCGCTGTGGTTGTGTCATTGTGTTGCAACTTGTCAGGTGGTAGGCATCGGTGCGGGCCAGCAGTCGCGCATCCACTGCACGCGGCTGGCGGGCGGCAAGGCGGCGCTGTGGTGGGCGCGCTGTGGTTGTGTCATTGTGTTGCAACTTGTCAGGTGGTAGGCATCGGTGCGGGCCAGCAGTCGCGCATCCACTGCACGCGGCTGGCGGGCGGCAAGGCGGCGCTGTGGTGGGCGCGCTGTGGTTGTGTCATTGTGTTGCAACTTGTCAGGTGGTAGGCATCGGTGCGGGCCAGCAGTCGCGCATCCACTGCACGCGGCTGGCGGGCGGCAAGGCGGCGCTGTGGTGGGCGCGCTGTGGTTGTGTCATTGTGTTGCAACTTGTCAGGTGGTAGGCATCGGTGCGGGCCAGCAGTCGCGCATCCACTGCACGCGGCTGGCGGGCGGCAAGGCGGCGCTGTGGTGGGCGCGCTGTGGTTGTGTCATTGTGTTGCAACTTGTCAGGTGGTAGGCATCGGTGCGGGCCAGCAGTCGCGCATCCACTGCACGCGGCTGGCGGGCGGCAAGGCGGCGCTGTGGTGGGCGCGCTGTGGTTGTGTCATTGTGTTGCAACTTGTCAGGTGGTAGGCATCGGTGCGGGCCAGCAGTCGCGCATCCACTGCACGCGGCTGGCGGGCGGCAAGGCGGCGCTGTGGTGGGCGCGCTGTGGTTGTGTCATTGTGTTGCAACTTGTCAGGTGGTAGGCATCGGTGCGGGCCAGCAGTCGCGCATCCACTGCACGCGGCTGGCGGGCGGCAAGGCGGCGCTGTGGTGGGCGCGCTGTGGTTGTGTCATTGTGTTGCAACTTGTCAGGTGGTAGGCATCGGTGCGGGCCAGCAGTCGCGCATCCACTGCACGCGGCTGGCGGGCGGCAAGGCGGCGCTGTGGTGGGCGCGCTGTGGTTGTGTCATTGTGTTGCAACTTGTCAGGTGGTAGGCATCGGTGCGGGCCAGCAGTCGCGCATCCACTGCACGCGGCTGGCGGGCGGCAAGGCGGCGCTGTGGTGGGCGCGCTGTGGTTGTGTCATTGTGTTGCAACTTGTCAGGTGGTAGGCATCGGTGCGGGCCAGCAGTCGCGCATCCACTGCACGCGGCTGGCGGGCGGCAAGGCGGCGCTGTGGTGGGCGCGCTGTGGTTGTGTCATTGTGTTGCAACTTGTCAGGTGGTAGGCATCGGTGCGGGCCAGCAGTCGCGCATCCACTGCACGCGGCTGGCGGGCGGCAAGGCGGCGCTGTGGTGGGCGCGCTGTGGTTGTGTCATTGTGTTGCAACTTGTCAGGTGGTAGGCATCGGTGCGGGCCAGCAGTCGCGCATCCACTGCACGCGGCTGGCGGGCGGCAAGGCGGCGCTGTGGTGGGCGCGCTGTGGTTGTGTCATTGTGTTGCAACTTGTCAGGTGGTAGGCATCGGTGCGGGCCAGCAGTCGCGCATCCACTGCACGCGGCTGGCGGGCGGCAAGGCGGCGCTGTGGTGGGCGCGCTGTGGTTGTGTCATTGTGTTGCAACTTGTCAGGTGGTAGGCATCGGTGCGGGCCAGCAGTCGCGCATCCACTGCACGCGGCTGGCGGGCGGCAAGGCGGCGCTGTGGTGGGCGCGCTGTGGTTGTGTCATTGTGTTGCAACTTGTCAGGTGGTAGGCATCGGTGCGGGCCAGCAGTCGCGCATCCACTGCACGCGGCTGGCGGGCGGCAAGGCGGCGCTGTGGTGGGCGCGCTGTGGTTGTGTCATTGTGTTGCAACTTGTCAGGTGGTAGGCATCGGTGCGGGCCAGCAGTCGCGCATCCACTGCACGCGGCTGGCGGGCGGCAAGGCGGCGCTGTGGTGGGCGCGCTGTGGTTGTGTCATTGTGTTGCAACTTGTCAGGTGGTAGGCATCGGTGCGGGCCAGCAGTCGCGCATCCACTGCACGCGGCTGGCGGGCGGCAAGGCGGCGCTGTGGTGGGCGCGCTGTGGTTGTGTCATTGTGTTGCAACTTGTCAGGTGGTAGGCATCGGTGCGGGCCAGCAGTCGCGCATCCACTGCACGCGGCTGGCGGGCGGCAAGGCGGCGCTGTGGTGGGCGCGCTGTGGTTGTGTCATTGTGTTGCAACTTGTCAGGTGGTAGGCATCGGTGCGGGCCAGCAGTCGCGCATCCACTGCACGCGGCTGGCGGGCGGCAAGGCGGCGCTGTGGTGGGCGCGCTGTGGTTGTGTCATTGTGTTGCAACTTGTCAGGTGGTAGGCATCGGTGCGGGCCAGCAGTCGCGCATCCACTGCACGCGGCTGGCGGGCGGCAAGGCGGCGCTGTGGTGGGCGCGCTGTGGTTGTGTCATTGTGTTGCAACTTGTCAGGTGGTAGGCATCGGTGCGGGCCAGCAGTCGCGCATCCACTGCACGCGGCTGGCGGGCGGCAAGGCGGCGCTGTGGTGGGCGCGCTGTGGTTGTGTCATTGTGTTGCAACTTGTCAGGTGGTAGGCATCGGTGCGGGCCAGCAGTCGCGCATCCACTGCACGCGGCTGGCGGGCGGCAAGGCGGCGCTGTGGTGGGCGCGCTGTGGTTGTGTCATTGTGTTGCAACTTGTCAGGTGGTAGGCATCGGTGCGGGCCAGCAGTCGCGCATCCACTGCACGCGGCTGGCGGGCGGCAAGGCGGCGCTGTGGTGGGCGCGCTGTGGTTGTGTCATTGTGTTGCAACTTGTCAGGTGGTAGGCATCGGTGCGGGCCAGCAGTCGCGCATCCACTGCACGCGGCTGGCGGGCGGCAAGGCGGCGCTGTGGTGGGCGCGCTGTGGTTGTGTCATTGTGTTGCAACTTGTCAGGTGGTAGGCATCGGTGCGGGCCAGCAGTCGCGCATCCACTGCACGCGGCTGGCGGGCGGCAAGGCGGCGCTGTGGTGGGCGCGCTGTGGTTGTGTCATTGTGTTGCAACTTG